CCAAAGCACTAAAGTTTTAAGGTGTTTTTTTATACTACTGTTTTTGCAATAAAAAATTAATTAAAATGAAAAAATAAAAATTCATTTATATAGTTTAAGACTCAATTTAACAAACCCAACAACTTTTAGATCGATATCTTTTATAGTTTTCTTGGAAAAAATTCGCGAAAATAGCCTTTTTTTTTTAGGTGCTCAGAGTAGAAGGTCCCCTTAATACTTAAAATGAATAGATTCACATTAAAATAATAGTGTTAGTTTATTTAATTGTAAAATAAACCTACTAAGATACTAGTATTACATATAAACTTGTGTTTTATTTTTTTTCTTAGTATTCTCTTGTTCATTTTAAATAACTGTACTACTTTTTTTAACACTTAAGATGAATAGATTCACTTTAAACTAATAGTTTAAATTAATCTAATTATAAAATACTAGTATTATATATAAACTTGTGTTTTATTTATTTATTTATTATTCTCTTCTTCTTTTTGAATAACTATACTCCTTTTTTTAACACTTAAGATAAATAGATTCACTTTAAACTAATAGTGTAGATTTTTCTTATTATTAGATACTAATATTACATATATACTAGTGTTTTATTTATTTATTATTCTGTTCGTATTTTTAAATAATACTAGTTTCTTTTTTATACTTCAGTTAAAATAATAGTTCTATATTATATAAGTTAATCTAATCGTAAGACAAGACACATACATCTTTGGTGTTATTCATTCAATAGGATCGTAGAGTATCGTAGCAGTATAGTTATAAATAAATAGGAAATAAGAATAGCATGTAGAATAGCAATGCCATCAATCTATCAACTTATCTTAATAGACCTAATCCTAAAAAGAAGTCGACGAAAGTTCAATATCCGTTTTTAGATAAGTACAATTTGTTACTTAAGACTATTCTTACGCACGCACACACACACACACACACACACACATAGATCTTTAGCTAAGTAGTACTTTGAAGTATGTATTCTTGAAATGTTAGAGTAACTAAATTTCATGGTATCAAATATGCAAATATATATATACATATATGATAGAAAAAATGGTGTAGTAAAATTTCGTAGAAAATATATGGTTAGTTGTGAAGAAAAGTTTGTTCTATCATTTTGTTTGATTAGGGGGGTTTTAGTTTGAAGCTTCTAATTTTAGTATGTTCACAAAGCAAAATGACAGATGTGTCAGTATCGATTGTTATACAGTAGGGAACAATCATTTGAAGGGATACTTTTCTAGATAATATTTTTTACTTGTTACTTTAGTAGGAAGTTAGAGTAATTCTAGTATATATATATATATATATATATATATATATATATATATATATATATGTGTGTGTGTGTGTGTATGTTAAATAACATTCTGGATTACTTATTGGTCATTTAAAAAGAATAAAAATAATATAAAGAAACTTAGTATTTTGTTATTGGAATATTTGTTTCTTTTTTTATATAATAATACGTGTTAATTATGAAATAAAAATTATAGAAAATATTTTCGCATACAAATTAAAGAAAACAAAATGAACATACAATATATTAACTTTCAAGAATACGACAAATTAATAAAACCAATTATGATAACAACGAAAATTATTTCCGTTTGGCCATTGGATAAAGATTCAACTAGGATAACTCAAATATTTCGTAACTTGCACACGTTTGCTATGTTTGCTATGGTAAGAAATATTATATTTTAATCTTATCTTATCTATTTATTTAAAAAAGGGTATCCCAAAAATTGCTAAAAATATAAATTGCTTAAATTGGTACCGAAAATACGTAGTTAATTATTTTTTTTTTAATAAAATTACAATATTTAATTTAAACGATATAAAATATCAATTACGGTGTTGTTAAAAATTAATAAAAAATTTCGTCATTAGGTTCAGTGATTTTTGAATTATCCAAAATATGTTGTTGTAATATTTAAAACCCTTTGGGTACACACCTTTATTATGAAAATTATTTTGAAATATAATAATTTAAATTAACATTAAATATAACATATAAAATATGATAATAATTAATAATAATATTATATAAGAAAATTACTACTTATTATTTTGAAATAAATCAAAATAAATTAATTACAATTTCATCTACAGTTTCTCAATGACGTATCAAAACGTCACATGTGCATCTTTGCTCAAACAACAGTACATGACGTTACTAATACGTCAAATGTAACCAAAGGGTTAATGTAAAGTATATTATAATTAAATAACAATTATTAATATATACATATATGTATGCAGATTATAACAATATCATTTGCAACAACGATGGAGGTAATAAATACGATCGATGATTTAAATGAAGCAACCGAGTGTGCACTTTTATGTACAGCCTTTTATCTCAGTTTATTACGTGTCACGATTTATTCATTACATCGCAAAGATATATCATACATCGTTGAAACTATGAAAAATGATTGGACATTAGCCAATTATGAAGAAATTGTAATACTCAAGGACAAATGTTTATTTACATTTCGTTTATCTAAATTGTTCATATTTTCTGTGGCTTTTACCATCTGTATATTTATTTCTGCTCCTTTCATAGAGGTATATTAATTAACAACAATAATTAATAATAATTATAATATCGTAAAAAAATTAATAACAATAAAAAATAAAATAAAACATTAATAATAATAAAAAAAAAAAAAAATAAAAAAAGGAACGGGAAGAAACTTCGTTCAAAATGAAATAAAAATTTATTTGTCATTTTATCTTTGTTTTGTTCTAATTTTTTTCTTGTTTTTTTTTTTTTTAAATTTATTTTTAGGAAAGGTATGTATATTAATTAACAATAATAATTAATAATAATTATAATATCATGCAAAATTAATAACAATAAAAAATAAAATAAAAAAATTAATTTGTGATTGTATCTTTGTTTTATTTTATTTTATTTTTTTTTTTTTTTTAAGGATTTATCTTTAATATAATATTTTTTTTATTTATTATTAAGGGATTCATCTTTAATGAAATATTTTTTTTATTTATTTTTAAGGGGGACTCATCTTTAATAAAATATTTTTTTTATTTATTTTTAAGGTGGACTCATCTTTAATAAAATATTTTTAATTTATTTTTAAGGGATTCATATTTATTAATATAATATTTTTTTTAAATTCATTTTTAAGGGATTCATATTTAATAAAATATTTTATTTATGTTTTTAGGGAATTATCTTTAATACAAATGTTAGAATATTACCATTTCGTGGATATTATTTTGTAAATCATACGATTTCACCTATATTCGAGATAATATATACCTTCAACGTATTATCAGGCTGTTTTTCAGCCACCACCATAGCCGGTGCTACGACTTTCAATCTTGTCATAATTATGCACGGTTCAGCTAAATTTGCTATTATACAAAATAGATTGAAACAAATCAAAGGAAACGATAGAAATGCATACGTAGAACTTTCGGAATGTGTTAAAAGTCATCAGGAAGCTATCACGTGAGCCAAATTGAATCGTTTTGTTTTTTTTTTTTTTAAACTTTTACCGATTCACATAAATGTGTTCATATTTATAACTTAACAAAAAAAAAAATATATTATTATTATATTATTTTGTTAATTAATTTTGATTATTCGTAGATAGGTTTGCAGATACATTGGAAAATGTTATAAATATCTTAGTATTGGGACAATTTATTATTAGTACTGGTTTAGTATGTTTCGCAGGATTTCAAATAACTGCGGTTCGTTAATTATTTACAATAAATACAATAATTTATATTATAAAGATTAATCTATACTATATTTAAATGTATATATATGTGTGTGTGTGTGTTATCTTAGATGATTGAAGATAAAGCTCGATTAATAAAATATACGTGTTTTTTAAACTCCGCAATTTTGGAACTTTTTCTATTCAGTTATAGTGGAAATGAATTGATCGATGAGGTAACAATTATTTTATTATTATTATTATTATTTTTTTTTGGTATTTAATATATATATATTAATGATTCATAAATGTTTATTATATAAATGTAGAGTGAGGCTATTGGATATGCTGCATATGAAAGTGAATGGTATAACAACAACTTGGGCTTAACACTAAAAACGATTATCATGCGATGCAGAATACCATGTAAAATAACAGCTGCTAAATTTTATAATATGTCTTTGGAAAGTTTTGCAAAAGTGAGTTACAACAAATTACAAAAATTATTAGAAAAAAACAATAATAATTGAAATATCACGTAAGATTCTTACAAATTGTTATTATTTATATATATATAAACGTATTTAATATTTATATATTTATTTAATATAATATAATATATCTTCTTTTCTTAATATACATATAAATTACGTGTCACGTTGTTTGTCCGCAATGGACTCCTAAACTACTGAACCGATTTTAATCAAATTTTGCACATTGTGTGCAGTTTCATCCAACTTGAAAGATAGGATAGTTTATATCTCAATTTATATTATTTTATTGCGAATTATTTGTTGTTCATTAACAAAGAGTCACGATTATCTCTGTTAGTTCGATAAGATTTTAAGAGATGGCGGTATAAGGTAATTCGTTGACTTAAAGAAGTGTGTATCGGACTGATTGTGAGTCACAGTAACCCGTGGCAGGGCACCCTTAGTATAATATAAAATATATAATATATAAAATAATATAATAATATTTGATATTTAAATAAATATATAAATATAAAATATATATAATAATTTTTATAAAAATTTATATTTTATAAAATATATATTTATGTATTGGGATCTTTGGCAGAGGCATGGCGTAGCAATTCGACCTATTTACTCTAATTTTGAATTTAGCCACCAGATAGCGTATTCAAGTGCTAAAGATCCCACAATATATATTTTATATTTTTAACTTATATATATATATATTTTTTTTTCAGGTTCTCAGTACATCATTTTCATATCTCACAGTACTTCAAGCAACTAACGAAGAATAAAATAATCCCAAATATTATTTGTAGTAAACGTAGCTACATCAAAATGGATGATTATGCCAACTTCGTAATTTTTAAACATTCAGAATGTTAGAATAAATATTAAATATAAGCTTAATATATTATAAATATATATATATATATACACATAGATAAATATAATATCATTATTATATTTAACAAGTAGAACTTGAAAATGTAGAAAATGATTTCTACGATTGTACTTCTTGTTTCTTTAATGAGAAAATAGAAAGAAAAAAATAATAAAAAAAAAAAAAACAATTAGTTATAATAGTTCTCCTTTCTTAAATGGAGCATCGTAAAAACGAGCAAGTAATCCCGGCCGGGATAAACCATAAGCACGAATGACGTTCTTTAGAGCGTCTATCTCGTGGGATATTTTCATCACAGCAGTAGAGCACGTGCACTTGGCCCGAACACGCACACTGGTTCCTTCATTTTCTGCCTTTTCGCGTTCTTATGCACTTTCAAAACGACCTGAATAATCTGACCTCTCTGTGTGTGTGTGTGTTTTAGAAAATTTATGAAAAAAAGAAAGAAAAAAAAAGAACACCAACAAAATCCTACGAACATTCTCAGATTCAACATTATTAACATTTACACGAATACTTTCACTAACATTTAAATATATTTACATATATATATATATATCAGAGTCATTCAATTATTCGTACTAACAATTGTCATCCATTAACAACAATAGTTAAATGAACTTAAACGAGTTTACAATGTGAATGAATGACAATTAGTGTATTATTAAACGTGCACTTGGGCAATATGGCTAACATTAAAGTGGCAGTTCGTGTTAGACCAATCTCATCAATTAGGTGAGTGTACTTAATACGATTTTATTTGACAATTAATTCAAATGATAATTAATTGATATAAGTTTAAGTGTCAGATTGAAGTATCGTACTTAAAAAAAAAAGTCAAAGGAAAAACAGGATGTCATTATACTTAAACACAGATGCAGAATAACATACGGCTGTCTCCTGGTGTCTTTATGAGGAGTGTGTTTTCGTTTCTATACTTAGACGAGTCAGAGAGACAGAGATGGTTGTTAAATGTGGTTGAAGATAAATAAAGAACAATATAAAATAAAATCTTTAATGATCAATTTTCATCATCRTCAAATAGTAATTAGAAGAAATCGATCATGATTGGTTAAAAATAAAATAATGAAATTAATTACGAACGTATTTGATTGCTATTAATTGAGTTCAGTATTCTTGGTATTTGTTTGTTTGTTTTTATATATATATATGTAGGTACAATAATATTATAATTAATATAATATACATAATAAATAAAAAATTATTTATAATATATATATATTATAATAATTTAATTTATATAAATAAATATAATAATTTATATTACATAAATTTTATTTAATTTTAATTAATATTAATATAATAAT